TTATCCTGAGACATGATATTCAATTGTCATGATCATGACTTATCTTGTGAATGATTGACTTAATTTTTGAAATGAATGATTTGATATTCCTAATTTGATCATGTCGTTGGATGGGCGGACATGATGGTGATCGCACCCATGTCTTGCGATATGGTAGCAAAGGTGAATTCATTTTATTTTTAAAAAAAATCATTTTTCGCCTTTTTTTATTCAATGTGTTTGGATTATTTCTTTTTGTTGTTGTGTGTGTTTAGATCACTGTGGGAGCGGCTAATAGCTTTATCACCTCAGCTACGCTCTATTTCATTGCTAGTGAAAAACCCAGTCATTCTCAGTGTTGTGATAAGCCACAACATCCAGACTTTGTGGGACATGGGCTTTACATTTGCAGGAGTAGAGTTTATACCAGTCATACTCAGTGTTGTGATAAGCCACAACATCCAGACTTTGTGGGACATGGGCTTTACATTTGCTGGAGTAGAGTTTATATTGGCTCTACACCAAGCTGTAAGGACCCAAATCCAACAGACAATAGACGTTTCGATTAATGGCCCCAAATCCTCATATTGACCCAACTCTGCAAGAATAAGTCCCAGTCCCACCACCAGGCCCAGCCCCAAATCCTCCAGATGGCCTGCACAGTAGTGCGGACAGTCACAATTAGGTATATTTTCCCACCTAAGAAACTTCTTATATAGCATTTTTAATTTCGTATGATGACGTGCTTTTTATAACTCGTAGGATTTATATTTTTTCAGATGATATGTAGTAGGCGGCGGATATATGCAAATTTTCTTTATTCAAATACACAGAAAATGGTTCTTTAGTTCAAGCACAAAAATTTATCTAATTTTCTTATATCAAAACCAACCAGGACGAATATGTCCTCATCCACAAATACTACCAAAATACAAGCACAAACCCTATATTCATATTTATAATTTGTTCAACACTAACCAAGAGAAAAAAAAAAATCTGACCCGCCGCCACGCCGACTAGGGAGATCGCCACCGCACCGGCGCCGACATACAACCCACCCACTTGCACACCACCACCACTCCACCACCACCAACCCACAACTTTTTATACTAATTTTTTTGTTGGTAAATTCAAAAACATTAATCGAGTATTAATTCTTTGAAAACGAACATTGATTCCTTAATAAATATGGTGAACATTAATCGATGATTATTTCTTGTTGGGTTGTAATGGTTTGGTCGATTTACGATTAAATTTTGAGATTAAAATCGGAGTTGAGAAAACGATGCGTATGCGTCGATTTTTTTTTTTTTGAAAAAGTCGGCATATTCAGACCGGAAAAATCGGCACTATATTAACGATTTTTGTTTGTTAAATCGGCACGTGAATACCGATTATTTTTGAAAAATCGGACTCTAAAGACCAATTTTTGGTATCGGGTGATTTTTTTTTTCAAAAAAAAAAAAACTACACACAAACTAAAATAAACGGTTAACACATATCATATTACGTTTCCCACCCCCATAAACCACCATCTCATTGTTTTTCGACTCCATTGTGAATGTTTGATGATTATTTGATTGTTTTGGTGTTTAGGGTTCTTGATGGGTTTGTGAAGAAGAAAAAGAAGGAGGATATTTTTAAATTGTCAAATAATGGGTGTATTTGTAGGTTTATTTTATTTGAACTTGCACAAAATAAATGAGTTTTTTTTTTGTCTTTTTTGTTTTTTTTTTTTTTTTTAATTTGATCTTGAATTTCATTAATGGTAAATTAGCAATTTTACATTGGTGATCTAGAATAAAGAAATTTATGGGTTTGCTTATATTCACCGCCCATAGTAATGATCAATTGTCATGACTCGTCGATTATGGAAATATGAGAAAACCAAAGCAAAAAGTACAAAAATACAATAATCAGTTGTATGAGGCGAATTACGAGTTATAATTAAATAATCATCGACACAAACACAAATTCAAATCCTAAATATCTACCTTGCCCATATTGGTTTTCCAATAAAAACAACATAACCTCATGGGATATTATATCATCTCTTTTCATTAAAGAAAATAAAATTTAATAAATAACAATAATAATAATAATAATAATAATTATTATTATTATTATTACTTGGCAACATCCAAACACGCTAAGTAATAATAAATCCAACTGCCCACCATCCCAAAACCACTCGTCTTTCAATTAAAGAAGCTACTGGAATATATAAAGGATGTGAAGTAAATGTTTAGATTGACTTGTCATTTAGTTCTAATAAGTTTTGTCATGAGCGACCTATATATATTCAAGCCTCCCAAAAAAAGCCATATATATAAAAATATATTATTTTTTAATATAGAAAGATGTGAGTGCGTTGCACGTCTCAATTAATTTATGTATATATTAAAATATATTGAATATATAGAAAGATGTGATTTTATTTAATATTGATATACATAAACAATCATATTTCTACAATATCTATTTCTTCTTAGGTTATTCCAGTAATTATTTATCATCGTCT